AGGACAGTAGGTCCCCCCCCCTTATTGTTTTATTAGGGCCCCCACCCACCGCTCAGGGGTGGGGGCCGAGGACAGTAGGTGTCCCCCCCCCCAATTATCTTTATGGCCCCCACCCGCCGCTCAGGGTGGGGGAGGGGGGGAGGACAATAGGTCCGCCCCCCCTTATTGTAATTTATGTCTTTTTTTTCAACAGTGAGCAGCCACAGGCTGCTCACTGTTTAGTAGACATGCCCCTACTCGCGGTATAGTGAGTAGGGGCATTTGGGAGATTTAAATCTCTCTTGTGCTATTATGGGGGTCATATTGACCCCCATAGAGTGAGAGGGGGTACTGGGGGGCTTATGAAGTGGTGGGGAGCACTGCTCCCTGCCACTTCTATAGTTACATATTACAAGGAGGGAGCTGCACGCCGGTAGCTCCCTCCTTGTAATAAACTGCACGAACAAACATACATTGATACTCAGATACACTGATACATTGTGTTTGTTTGTTCGGCTGATCTTTCTATTCACTCATTCGTCTGTCTGATGAATGAATGAATAGATGAAATTCCCGTTCGCATGTCCAGGTGTTTCACTGGGCATGTGCGGGAATCTCAGTGTCTGCCTAGTGTGGGCTGATGACGTGTCCCACAGGGACTTCATCTACCCACACAAAGATGGCGGCGCCCTGAATCAAGATCGGGGCAGAAAATAAGGATTAAAAATAGGTAATGTGGGGGGCTTAGGGGCATTTGGGGGTGACTAGTGGGTCAATTGGATGTAGTGGAGGCGGGAGGGGGGTTAAAAAAAAAACGGGTTTCGACATGACAGTGCCACTTTAAGCAGGGCAATCCATATCGGCATCAGTGTGTCAATGGTATAATTGCAGCAATTATATAAATCCTCATGTCTTCCTGGAGCTACTGCTCACAGAGACAGGAGATGTATTGGAAATATGGTTAATGCCTGCAAAGCATGATGTACTTGTCCATCTAGGGACAAATGACTTGGCTTGCAATGAGGTTTCAACGGTAAAGGAAGTTTTTTGTGTTTATGCCAATGATATACGGCAGGTTGCTTCCACACTGTCATTCTTTGAAGTTCTGCCTGTGCAGAACACTCAGAATGACAGGGGGATGTTTATTAGGGACTTTAACTTGCGGTTTGGTGAATGGTGTCGGAAACAAGGATTGGCTTCATTTCTCATGGTAGCTCTATTTGGAATGGAAATAAACTGTACAAAACATGGTTTCTAGGATTTGCAAGAAATATATTTAAATTAAAACAACAATTTATTGAAGAACATAAGTATCAGATAAAAAAAATAAATCTCACAATATATAACATATAAAGCCTTTAAAGCTGAACACTGATCAGCTTGTGAGATACTGTAACCAAAAATGCTGGAACAATATTAAAGACAGTTGCTGTGCAGAATGTCTGAGAGGCTAATGGAGAGACAATGGCATACACAGAGAAGCCTTTACTAAACTTATTAAGAAAGATTCGACTTCAAGCTCGCTATCTAGGCTTGCAAAGGTATAAAGACCACCCAGTCTATCCTTTGATGCTGTATGGAAAGAAATGTCCCAACTAGCCAGATTAACCTATGATACCATCAAATGTCTTGTAGGTCGCTATCTAGGTTAGCAAGAATGTAGACTATAATAACGAAAGCATCATTCCATTTGAGAAAGTTCTTTCCATATTATCTGCAGAAAATTCCCCAAATAGACCCCATAGAAGAGAGTTTCCCTCATTGATTGCTATATAAACCCTCACACCATACCAAAGAAGTGCCAAACTAAAATGTGCAGTGAATAAAATAAAAAAGCAAAGCCTGACACGCGTTTTGGCGCTGCTAAAGCACCTTCGTCTGAAGCATTGATGAGTACACTAACCTGTGTAGCCATTTAAGAGAGGAATGAATCTACATGAACAAATAGAATACTGGTGTGTGTGCAGTTTTTCCCCACCTTAAAGGACCACTATAGGCACCCAGACCACTTCAGCTCAATCCATCTAGGGTTAAACCTGCCTGCTGTAAACATAGCAGTTTCAGAGAGAAACTGCTATGTTTACATTGGGGTTAATCCAGCCTCATTGACAGCCGCTAGAGGCGCTTCCGCGCTTCTCACTGTGATTTTCACAGTGAGAAGACGCCAGCGTCCATAGGAGAGCATTGAAAATGATTTCCTATGCACTGACTGAATGCGCACGGCACTTACCGCGCATGCCTATTCAGCCGATGATGTCGGAAGGAGGAGGAGAGTTCCCCAGCGCCAGGGAGCCCGGCGCTGTAGAAAGTGTTTAACCCCTTCCTCCCCCTTCAGCCCGGTGGGAGGAGGCCATGAGGGTGGGGGGGACCTATTAACATTATAGTGCCAGGAAAACCAGTTTGTTTTCCTGGCACTATAGTGGTCCTTTAATTTAGATCAGATTAAGGTTCAAAAACACACACACCTTCTTCCATCTATAAGACATGCCTATCAACGTGTCTGTGGGCGGACCTAAGTTCTCAGAGTGGATTATTTCCCAGGGGGGTACGTCACAGCGTCTATGCCCCCTAATAAACAAGTCCATGGGAGTGTTCTATGCGAGAAAACACGCCCATGGCCCACCTTCTCTTTTGTTATTGAACTGCTCAGTATTAATATACTTAATTTCGCCATCATAATATAGTTGACGGGTGGTTTGGTGTCTGCATACATATCCTGTTAGTGACGCTATAATAGATTAACATAAATTAGAATTGCCAAGTTAGCCTGATCAACGGGTACGCATGCAGTATGAAAGCTCCCACTCTCCGCCTATTTCTTGATAGGCATTGCTCTCTAGGTCTCTTGGATAGACGGAATCTCCGCCCATAGGAAGATATGGTCCAAATCAAGATCATAGTAGTGTGTTGGAGAGGCATAAAGGTGCCACCCCAACCTCCGTATCACTGGTATATTCATTTGGACTATATACTATACCATCCATTTGTATACAATAGTAATCCTTTTAATTCATCACTAGGATGTAACTGTACAGTCCAAGATAAATCACTGTTGATCTAAAGTGTGATCAGTCTGATCGCTTAGATTCCTTTTAAAGCATCACATAGTTAGTGAAAACGATAATTAACTAAAGAGACTTGTGTATCTATTGATTAATATATATTGGAAACTAAATTATATACAAACCTAATATCTCATTATAATTATATTTACAATATTGCTTCTATGGATAAATAAATGGGGTAAATGTATCAGTATATTGCTTGAGAGACATCACTACGTCATCACTATGTCCAGACTGCAGAGACAATACTACATGACAGACAAGCATATAATCTGCTTACCTCTGACCCTTTTTCCAAATTTCAAATTGAGTATAAGTCCCTCCTTGGCATATGATCAGGGTGTTATCACTAAGGACAAATATTATAGCATTTATGTGAACAATCCTATAATATCCACTTTCTACTGCCTCCCCAAGGTCCAAAAACAACACACTAACCTTACAGCTAGACCAATAGTGTCAGGATCTAATAAGTTCACCAGTAGAGGGAGCATATATATGTGGATAAGATCCTATGACCTTATGTTGAGAACCTGCCATCATATTTGAGGGACACAAAGGATGTCTGTCATCATTTAATGGGACCAAGAGGGGGCATACTCTGCAGTCTGGACGTGGACTATAGGCATAGATCATGTAGAATTCTTCTTGGAAACGAGGGGACTAGAACATCGATGTCACACGACCTTTGTTCTTGACCTTTTACGGTTTATTTTGACTCATAATTATTTTCTTTTCCACAATAAGTTATATCACCAGGTACTGGGGAAATGCGATGTGGATATCTTGTGCCCATCGTATGCCAACCTGCACCTGGGATGGTAGGAAAGCATAATAGAATCCTCTGATTCTCTCAAGCAATATATTGATCATATCTTTTTATTGAGGAGATACATCGATGATTGGACAGGCACCAAGGAACTCTTTGCCAAATTAGTGAAAATCCTTAAAGTGAATGATCTCAACCTTAGATTCACTAGGAGACAGGTGCCTAACTTTAATTTTTGGATTGCACACTTACTATAACAGAGAAGCTCGAGATCAATACTACTGTCTACCGTAAACCGACTTCTACTAACAATATGCTCAGATGGGAAAGCTACCTCCCTCATGAGAGGTATTCCAGTAGAACAGTATTTGAGGCTAAGGAGAAACTGCTCTTCTACTGAAGATTTCAAGCATAAGGCTACACAGCTCAGGCAGAGGTTAAAGTAAAGGGGGTATCGTAACAGATGTTTAAAACAGGCTTACCAAAGAGCACTGCTCAGTGAACGTGAAACATTATTGTGTAACATAGGTGTGCGCACGGGGTGTGCCGGGTGTACCTGGGAACACCCTAATGATATCAGCATTTTTCCACCCCTGTCATTATTTAATATAATAATATCAATAATAATATCAATTTGGGGAAAGCCTTGCCCGCCGGGGCGAGCTGTGAGGCCACCTAAAATGTAAAAATAAAATCAGGTTTGTCAGGAGATGGATAAACAACAGGGTAATGGGACAGAGCTAAAAAGTCAGTAGAAAGCTAAAAAACAAATAAGGGAGCAGCAACCTATAAAAATGAGGTTCCCTCTCTACTCCTCACATAAAAGGACAAACAAAAGAAAATATATAGGTCGCGCTATATGGTAATGGAAATAGAAGTAAATATAAAATGAGATAAGACAAATATATAAATAAAAC